CCCCCTAAATGGTGTCACCCGTTGCGGTCCGCACCCCCCGCCTCGCCTTCGCTACGCCTCTACGTTAGGCTACAGAGGAGTTAAACGAAGAGATTAACTTCTACTTACGATGGATATTTTTTAATATATAAATATTCTGAAGGCAACATTTTGTATTTTATATGTCCTGATTTTGTATTTATACTATATTATTATGCTTGCCTACTACTGCTAAAAAGTTTATTTATAGGCTGATTCTCTCAATGTCTTGCACGACAACGTGATATCGCCTGTAGTGTTATCATAACGATTGGGCTATGTTTGACCCACAAACACTGAATCCCACTGCTAAAACGGTGGGGGGGGGGGGGGGGGGGGGGGGGCTTTTTGGAACTTTTAACCTTTTTCTTTTTTAAAATTATTTATATGTAACAAATATTAAAATTCCATTGTAGAAGTTTTAATTTTTTATGAGGGAAAAGGGCCACTATGTGCCTTGGGCCCCCATGCCTTGCTTACGCTAGCTTTACGGTAGCTACGCCACTGTGTTAGTGGTCCTTTTGTCTGGAGCCAAATTGACAGGAGCCTTTTTTTTGGGAGCCAAAATGACGCTAGCCTATTTGTCGGGAGTCGTAATGACGGGGGCCGTGTTGTGGAGAAACTAAATGGCGGGAGCCTATTTGTCGGGAGTCGTAATGACGGGGGCCTTTTTGTGGGAAAAACTAAATGACGGGAGACTATATGTCGGGAGCCAAAATGACGGGAGCCTATTTGTCAGGAGCCTTATTGACTGGAGCCCTTTTGTCGGGAGCCTATATAACGGGAGCCTATTTGTCGGGGGCCTATATGACGGGGTCCATATGTCGCTGGCCCTTTTGACGGGGCCGATTTGACGGGGTCGTTTTGACGGGGTCGTTTTGTCGGGGTCGTTTTGACGGGGCCGTTTCGTCATTGGCCGAATTGACGCCGCACGTTTATAATCATATGTCCTGCTATTTACATACTGCTAGAGACTAATAATAATAAGATCACCTAGTAACTAACTAGTTTACAGTTAACTATAAGATTTTCTTAGATCTAAGTATAAAGTAAGATTAGTAATTAGGGTCCTACTTAAATAGACTTCCTAGAATTACATTTAGATTCTAGCCAATGGACACCAATGAGAATAGTCTTGAAATCAGTCCAGAGGTTTAATAAAAAAATTTTAAATGTCTGATGGTATTAAAATAAATATGGTGATAAAAACCTGACAGTTGATAATTTTTGGTAACTTTTTTAAAAAGGCTAAAACAATTTGAGAATTTAAGTCAAGTCAACTAGAAGATGTGGCTTAAAGAAGTTTAATTTTATTGAAAATTCAATCGACAAAGTTTTGAGCACAAATTCCTAGAAAGTGGAGTTTTCAGAAGATCACCTGTACAGCAATCAATGCTTTCAGGGTTTGTGCAACTTTTCAAAAATGAAATTCCAGACTTTTTCCAGAGAATTTTATGGAAAATTCCACACATTATACACATAATGATTTAGAGACTAATTTACAAAATGGTGCAATATTTGTATTCTCATTTTAATTACAGTATAATGACATTTATTTAAGGCAATTAAGCTAATACTTTAAAAAACTTTTCTAGAGATGCCTTACCCTCCCCACCCGCCAAGTTTAAATTATTAAAACAATAGATTCACATGAAACTTTTTTGTTACCAACATAAACTAATGTAATCTCTGTTAATAAATAATCTATTTGTACTATTTATGCTCACATCTGAGTAGCTTTTGTCTGCAATAAAAACCTGCCTGTATGATTCCCAACCCTCATCAACAACACAGTGGTGAGGTTTCATTGGTTTAGACACCAATGGGCATGTGTAATAAAGCATGAGATATGACACAACATCTATTTTTCTTACAACTAAGCAATATCAAACAAGTACTCTGGGTCACTGTGAGTTCACACAAGTTTAGACACCAATGTAGAGTTGCCAAAGATTTTAAACTTCATTATTGTTGAAAATGACAATTATCTTTAATTTGATACCAACTTTAATTATCAAAACTAATTAGTAGCCCAGAAAATGATTTTTGAAAAACATGTTAGTTTTTAAATGGCTCGATGCTATGACTGAGACATAATCTAGTGGGTTAATTTTTACGAAGTGACTACTCGGAAAAAGATGTTATGGCAGAAAATATGAAACTCAATTTTTCTGCGCATGCACAGTGACCTTAATAGCTGCGCTAGAAATAGGGTTCTGCGGTTTGTTAGTAAACACACGCGTGAGCAGTACCATCAAAGGCATCGCTGTGAACGAAGGGGGTAGTTTCTCTCCATTGCACATGTGTATTTTTTTTTCCGGCTAGAAAAAATCTATTCTGGTGTTAAATTCCCCTCCCTTACTCTCAGCATTTAACTTTGGAGCCATACACAACATCAGGAAAGTCTAGGTCGATGTTGTATCTCATGCAAATTTACTCAAAACACAATTACACACTACGGTTGTATCCAGGATTAAAGCTGCGACACTTACATAGAGTGGGATTTATTCATCAGATCATTGTGCTTCAAATTGTTACAATATTGGGATTAGATTGATATGATGTTGGAATTCAGTTAGTTTGATAATTCATATGTTGATCTAAATGTCGTGTACCATCAGAAACAAAATTTCTTGACAATACACATGTGTTGGCTAAAGAATGACCTCTAGTCTACACTGGTTGGCAAACGTGGTTTCCAAATTTCAATTTTCTAAAGGATTTTATTTTGTGCTTTCTTTGGGTTTATTTTGTGTGATGTGAATATTCAAAAGTAATTTGTAAGTAGTATGCTTTTTACATTCAACCAATTTAACAGTTTGAGTTCGATCTGATTAATTTACATTTAGCGAATACTACACACTGCACGGCGTCCTAAGGCCATTGTTTCAGCATGCCATACTAGGTAAATTATAGACAACTTAAGAATCAACACATGTACTATGTAGGCCTACCCAATACACTGATTTTTATTTAATAATCTTCAAAAGCCATTCCTCTAGGGTTTTCCAATTTGTTGTCAAGAATCTGCTATTTAGTTCACGAGAACGTACGAAAACTACTCGTGTGACCAAGATCGTCGATCTGGATTCTGGTGCCTTCATGTGGTTTGACACGTGTTGACTTGGGCCTTTGTTTACATCGAAACATAACCCTTTTTTAAATTAATTATTCGAAAAAAAGGGCTGTCCAATTTTAAAAGTGGTCATTTTAGGGCCCTTTTTAATAAATAAACGAAAAAAATCCGAACTCCAAAAACGCGTTGTGTGACGTCATTGCGACGTCAGCCGCCAACCATAACGCAGAGAAAGCGCACGTTTGATTGGCTGGCGGTGGAAACTATGAAGGGTTTTCTCTTGTAAATTCTTACAGATCTTTTATTTTATATTCTTTTTTTTTTAGCGAAGGAGGCCCTACCCTCCCTACCGGCCGCTAAAGCGGCTAAGCGATCCGCGCAAATGCGGCCTAATGATTACGATATAGATCTAGGCTCTCTAGGCTATAGATCTACAAAGAGAAGAAAATATTTTTTTAAATATATTGACAACTAGAATCTAGATGACAATTTACATTTAGTAACTTACAGTAGCTGTAGCATTGAGTGTAGATCTAGATCTAGCTATTCTTATCTCTGTAATATAAATTGTAAATCTGACATTTATGTAGATTCTAGGCCTAGCAGTTTATTTCAAAATCAAGGTGTTTCTAACTTGAATACGAACAGAGCGCTCTATTTAAAAAGTTGTTACAGTACTTTTAACTGCTTTAATAAATAGTATGAAAAAAAAAACCTAAGTAGCTCACTACGTCTAGAGTCTAGATGCTGGGCTTTATAACATAAGCAGAGGTTCCTTTTAAATGTTCGAGTTCGAGTAGCGATTACTATGTATAAATAAAAGCCAAGTGATCCTCAACTCACATACAATTTAATTTTTTTTTTGGCTTAGTCTAGATCTACCAGTCGGCACCCACAGAAACCCACACATAGGAAACCCGTGCTATAAGCTTAGGTGGAGGGGTCATCCATAAATGATGTCACGCTTTTTTCGGCCGATTTTTACCTCCCCCCCCCCCTCCCCTCCGTGACAATCGTCACAAAAAAGCCAGATCCCCCTGCCTAAAATGACGTCACACACCTCAGCCCACAACCCCCTCAAAATAGCAGTTGAATTTTCTTAAAACATCGATAAGTATTCCATAAGGGGTCGTCCATAAATGACGTCACACTCGTGGGGGGGGGGGGGGGGTTCCGTAATTTTGTGACGGTGTGTGATGAGGGGGAGGGGGGGTCAGATGGTGTGACTTCACTTTTCTAACATTGTTTTTTATAATGCAAAAGTGTGACGTCACACCATCTGAGGCCCCTCATCACACACCGTCACAAAATTACGGGTAGAGGTCTGACATTTTGTGACGGTGTATGGTGATGGGAAGAAAGGGGGAGGAGTAGTATCATTTAAATTTGTTGTGGTTTATAGATGAACCCCAAAATGGAAATTTGGTGTTTGGTAAACATCTGTCAATCATAATGAATCAAATGAATGCCCTTAGAATTTAGATTCTGGTAAGGGGGGGGGGGGTGGGGGACGGACTAAAAATTTGGGGGGGGGGGGGGGGGCAATTACTGTTGAAAGGACATATTTTTTATATAAATTCCATTTCGTTTGGGGGGAGGGGGGTGGCGGTAGTAGTAGCATAGTGCTGACCACTTCATAAGTCACGGTAATAGAAATAGGTGAACTCTTCTTCACCTGCCCCTTAGACCACCTGGTTCAAAAATAGAATTTACATTACATTTAAGCTCTTATTAGAACATGAAGAAGTGTTGTGAATAAAGAGATTCTTGCCAATCCGTGTTGACACTAGTAACTATGAATAGGTGGTCTTCAGTTTGAAAATTTTAAATAAAGATGTTAAAACAATTCAGTATGATAGATTTGATAATCATTAATTAGATATGAAAAAAAATAACTCAATGCACATTGAATGAGATAATCTTTTTATTAACATTATCAAGGCCTATAGATGACAAATTTAGAAACTTAAGCATTCCAAAACTTTCACTTCTTTAGAGACTTGTGTATAGTACAATATATATTTATATATTTAAATATATACATGACATATTTTTTGAATCAATGGCACTTCATAGGAATGAGTAATGACATTACCAAAAAAACACCTGCAATTATTATAAAACGACATCTGAAACCTGTATTACACATTAGGTAGTTATATGAAACTTTACAGTTGATGTATAACAAATGTACATATCTTTTTAAAAAAGTAACACTAATCACATCACAGCACACAATAGTATTGCGACACCAATTTACATTTATTTTAAATTTAGGCCTAGGATATCTTACAGTAATACAGAGAAATTTATATACACTTTTAAAATTAAAAACAAAATTGTCATTCAGAAAGTTAAATATAAAAACTTATGGATTTAAACTTTGAAGTTAGACCTCGTGCAACATAAATTAATAATGACACCTGGATATTATTTTAGGTCTTATTGTTATATCGACATAATGTTCATGATAAAAAAATTGTCATGTGAAGTCAAATCATGGTAAATTAGTAGATATTTTGAAATATAAGTATTTAATTATTTCTTTTAATATTATAAAATCCAACTTCACAAATGTAAACAGGCTGTTGATATTTTAAAATCATTTGCATTTAAGTGAGCAGTAATACAAAAATATAATTCATGGAAATATTCATTTTATAACGATACTTTCCATTCTATATTTTATTTTTACATATTCTTTGCTCCTGTGTGAGCACAATTGAAAACTTCACAGAGGGAGTGTATGCCCAGTTGACTATAATTTCTTCTTACAAATGTCAGGCACCTACTCAAGCAGGTGGAGCATAAGGCACCAAGAAATGTTAGCACCACACCACTTAGTCCTCTGTAAATTAATTTTGAATCTTGTTTTTCATCTATCAACTCTGGAATATCTGTCTAGTTAGTATTTACACAGGGAAGAAGAAAATTTGAAGATGACAATGGCTTGAGACAAAACTCCATCTTTCAAGGAGAAAAGTGTCCTTTGTTTCAAGTAACATCTCTAAACAGTCTGTCTTTTCACTTCTTTATAAAATGGAATGTTACAATTACAAATATACTTTTCCTTATATTAACAAAATTAAAGACACCACTAAATTCCATAAATTGTCACGGTTTAGATTATCCTCCAGAAAAGTCTAAAAACAATGTAACACTTATAAACAACTTCATTCTCTGATAAAATAGTACAAGCTGTAATAATTAACTTATTTTTTTCTATTCACCTTTATACAAGGTTATGTTTGAACTTACTAAGTCAGAATTAAAATGTGCCAGTCATATGAAAGTATTTTCTGATGTAAATGTAACATTGTGTACATTTTAACTTAGTAGGACTTTATAATTAAGGGTGGTTAACATTCAAATAACAATGTTATCAGAAGTCAAGTTTAATTTTATCTTTTTACCAGAGTAACATTAATTTCTACTATTTTTAGTAAATGTAAATACAAGATACAACAGTAACATTTTTCTATGTACACTTTCATTATAAAATATAATGTAATCACAATAAAGAGTGTACCAGTGGTTATTACAAATAGGGGTGTGCTCTTAAGTAATCTAGTTTGAATTTGAAAAAAAAATTGCAATTTTTGTTTAAATTTTTTTTAATTATGCCAAAAATATAAAGTACAAAAAAAAGTTTTAATAATCCTGAAAATAAAACTGCACACATAGATTGAAAAACCAAAGACAAAAAATTATTTATAGGTAATAATAAAAAATTAATAGGGTAAATCATGAAAGACATTGAATAATTTAAACAAAAAAATAAAGTCACATAACTGAACAAACACTAAAAATCTACAAGTATTAATATTATAAATACATTTCTGGATATGTTTTTATAACTTATTAGATGAATTGTAAACTATGTTTTGAAAAAAAAAGAACTAGGCAGTTTGACAAAGTCTTTAAACGTTTAACTTTTTTGCCCTGAACTTCTCTCTCAGTCTCGTAGATTTTATTCATGTATAATAAAAAGCCATAAAAGTAAATTTATCCAATTTCATGACTGTTTTAGAATCTATATAGCAAACTGTCCAGATAAACAGGGGAGGAATAGCTTACCAGTACCCATATGTATTCAACAAAATATTTTGTAGTTTGTACTACAAAATAGTTGGAGTAGCTTAGAACCTGCACCACCCAAGATAATAACTCTACAGGAAACTATAAAAGATGACAGAATAAATGCAGATCTACAGAAATATAATACATAACAAATTTACACAAGTATATATCTACAAATCTCATTTTAAATGTGTATACATTACAATGTTAAATTAATTCTTCCTCATCACTGTAAACAGGCAACAACAAGAAAATGATTATACAAATTTGTTTCTTGATGGAACCAGTTTTGAAATTTTACTAAACTTTTTACTTTACAAATCCTGGAAACATGTAGAAGGTTAAAAGGATATTGCTCCATTAAATATAACTAGGACTGCCTCAATTTCACTTTTAGTTACTGTTCTGTGTTCATCATACAACACTAAATCAACAGAACATCAGTTAAACTAAAAACTATTTCATAAAATGATAGAATACCAAAACCAACATTTTTTCACACATTGGTTCTGAAATCGATAGATTTGTGTTGGTTCACATTTCAATTTTGAACTATCTTGAATTGTGCATTAAATTATATCACTCTTAGATAGTTTATTGGGCAATGTTAAACATTTTTACAAATTTTAAAATACAATGAACTATTGTAGAATTTGAGATTCAAATATTAAATCATATTTAGATATGATGACAATCATATTACAATTTGAATAATGATTAAAGAGATAAAATAAACAAAAATGAATTTTCTTAACTATTTGTGTAAAACTTTACACAGTACTAAATATATCCTCTCTATTCCTTAACTATAATTTTAATTTGAATATATAACCAATAAGTACTAGCTGTTTTTAGATAACCAAAAATTGACAAATATCACACTGTAAATTTTTTAAAAAGCTTCAATAAAAAACATTCTTTCCTGGTGATTGATGGAAACATAAATATAATTGGTTATTTAAGTTATTTTTTGACTAAACATGGATTAATGCCTAATAAAAAAAAAAATCTTAACTAATATGGAAAAATATAAATCGGCCAATGATGATAATTTCCGCATAACTAGTTAAGAGTATTTGTATTAAAACAAATATTTAAGAATACAATTGCGATGAAAGACAACAAAATAAAACATTGTTTTTGAGAGTAATTATCTAAATTAAATTGCTGTTTTTAATTATTTAAATACAATATAAATGAACCATCAAGTTTAAAAAAAAATTCTGTATGAATATCGTCGAAAGGTAATTTATTCCCAGCATGATACAAATTTTGAAGCCACACATTTTTTTCGGTGAATTTAAATACAATCAGTAAATGTTAAACAAGGTTTTCTGAGTCAAATTGTTTAGACTGTGCTGGTTTTACAATTATAAATACATAAATAAAGATAAAAAAAAAATAATTTTTTGCAATCTAAATTAATGGTAAACTGCTTTCAACAAACAAAAAAGGATTCATGTATTTAATGGTAAATAGATCAACTTAAAGTTGCATATTTACAATAGAACATATAACATCACATAAGTCATTCACTATTTAAATAAAATAATCTAAGCACAAGTATCTGGATGGTAATAATTTACATTTTTTCTCATTTTCAGTTTATCACCTTTGGCATGTTCAAGACTCTGTTTTCTGTTAGAACCTGTGTGATTTTTAAAAGGATATTTTTTAAAATTAGAAATAAAAACTATACAAAATTTATATGGCTGCTTGATCTGATACTAAACTACACAGAGCAACTTTAAAATGGTTTTGTTTTATTTATCTCTTTTTACGTGAGCAACATTTTAATCTCAAATTAGTCATAGTTTAGTTGCAGTTTTATAAGCAGATTTTGTAAACATAAAAATGTAATTAAAATGCATTTATTAAAAAATTACTCTAACTCTAATTGTTGGAAAATATTAAGCTTATCTAATTGTAGGTATATATTAAGCTTATTATGAGTATTAGAAACTGTCAAAGTTTATTTGAGAATAAAACTGTTTTAGATTAGGTTCAAATTCCAAACCCTAATTAAAATGAATATAAATAGTACTTCTAATTTTTAGAAAAGTAAAATATCAATGAAACAATTAAGAAGAGAAAGAAATACTTGCCCATAGAAACTAAAGCGCTTCCAACTGCAAGACCAGACTGACCACTAGGTGCAAATTCTGCATCCCCAGTTGGAAGCTGGATAAGCAGAGTCAATATTGCCGCTTTATGGTCAGCTAATGGCTCGATGGATATCGCAGAGGGTTTATTTATCATCTGATAATAGAAGATCATTTTCAAATTTAAAAAGTCAAAATATAGTATTTAAATTTCACATGTGACAATACACGATAATATGAACAGAAAAAATTCTAATGAACTCACTTTTTTCCTCCTTCTTAGAACTGAGTCCAAATGATCTTTTTTATCAACTACAGCAGGATTAGATTTTCTTTCCACCTCTACTGAGATGGATGAAAAAGGCCTACTAGCCATCTGTTGCATCTCAACAATCATTTGCTGAAACAAAATATAGTGTCCATGACAATGGTAAAAAAAACTCTTTAACACATAAAACCTTTTATACAGTGCAATATACTGTAGACTGAGTAATTTTCATCAAATCTCCCAACTACAAAGCAGACAGGAGGGGATGTCGTAACATTCTTTGGGATTGTATAACTAGTATTTCCAAATCATTATAGAGATGGTAGGACAAGGTTCATAAACTAAACTCTACTAGAGCAAATTGAGTCAACTAGTCTCGCTTTTAAATCATTTAAGTAGTGTATGTATAAATGCATTTAATATCATCCTAAATAAATGCCACATGTATTTTAGATGCATTCTGTAATGAAGAAATATTAAAGGCACATACCTGTCTTCTTCTGTAGCTATCATACTTGTGTTTGATCTTCCATAATGCAGCAGCGATGAGAAGTAAAGACAGAAAACAGCTGAAAAGATTGAAAAATTGTTAAGAATTAAAACAATCAATCAATATCACCAATTATTTTCAAGTAAAGTTAATCATTTCTATTCATTTTGATACATTTGTTAATCTAGTAAAATGTTTCTAAACTTATACGGAAGTATAAAAATTATTTTTTGTGTGTATATTTCAAGAATAAAAGCTGAGTTAATTTACCAATTGTTTTGTTAATAAACAACTTATAATGATTAAAAACTTGAATATGTTACAGCTTATCTTTTAATCTTTAAAATTTCAGAAACTTGCTTAACCATTGTAAAAGCATTTTTTTAAAAAAATGTAGATATATTTAAAGAAAAGGAAGTAAAATGCATACTTTAGTCTCTAAAATTAATGACTAACTTTACTTTTGCACTGTTAATTTTAATTTCATCGTCATTTTATGTCCAAATAGATACATTGCAAAGGAAAATATTCATTATGAAATTAAATTACTGCAAGGTTTCCTTCAACAGAAAAAAATCTAGATGGTGTAAGACTAAGGTGAGGTAACATTTCAAGATGTATCAGGATAAGCCGAATGCTAAATATTTAAGTGCACAATAGTTTATAGAGCAATGTATTTCCACAGATTATAGAATTTATTGCTTTGTTTAAAATCAGTGGATCACTAGTATTTTTCTATTTGAAAAGTTTCCAAACATTTTAACGACTTTTTGTTTATAAATAAATTGCATGACATGGTTTAAAAGTTTTGTAAATTCTAAGGAAAACTAGATCTAAATAGATTGATTTACAAACATAAACCTAAAGGCATGTTTAATAAACAGGTGAGATTAAAAAACAAACAAGTGAATTCATGCTAAACAAGAAAAAAGAAGTTGACTTCAAGGAAATGTGCATACAAGGTGAGATAAGAAAACTAATGTATTCAACATTCAAGATTTGAAAACACAATACCAAAGTGTTCATACAGTTAGGTGCAAACAACATTTTATTTAAGCTACAGTACACATGCCATTTTATAATAGTTTTTTTTATACTGTTAATAAACTAATATATTCACATGTACATGTGCAATATATATATATCACATACAAATGGACCGATAAAAATAAAATAATTATTTATTTTAAAACATAATAAACAATAAACTTCAATTTTAAATGTTTCTGCAAATAAATAAAACTTTTTTTAAAAATTTTTGATTAGATCAAGAATCCAAAATAAAAAACTTTGTTTTTAGAAATGAAGAATGTAATTTATAGCTGAAGGTTGGCAAATGTTTTTCTTTAAAAAACATAATGAAATGATAAATGAAGAAAATAATTTCATCTTAGAGTTAATTTGTTTTCATTCATAAAGTTAAAACTTATTTTCAAAACAGACTTACCTAAAGAAAATAATAAAAAACTTAAGCAGATTGATTTTTTCCGGCTGAACAAAAGATATCTGTAAAAAGATCATAAACGGATGAACATAGGACATGCATTGATGTTAGTGACAGGCAGCTATCATTGCAGCATGGCCAAGCATCAGAAGTCAGGATCTGCTCGTAACAAAATAGGGCTTTACTAACGCTGCCAGCAGTTTTGCTAAATATAAATTGTTTTCTTCCTTTATTTCATGTATTCATAATTTAATCTTAGGAATACTAAATATATTATGAATTGAATTTGATTAAAAAGCAAAATATAATTGAAATTTCAAAGTTAAACTGGCAGCATTGGTAGGAAAATAAAAAAATACAGAAATCCCTGTTCAAGCCTTTTGATTTATTGCATGTGGCTAGGTGGCAAAGCTCAGAGTTTTTGGTTAAAGGATTCAAGGTAATAAAGGTCAAAGGATTAAAAAAAAGGTTCGGCTATCTAAATAGTGGACATCTAAATGTTGTACATTTATCAGTTTGTAGGGAAGCCCACACCCACATGCAGTAAATCAATATCCATGCCACAATACTGATAAAAATCACAACAGTTATATGGGGGAGAAAAGGTTTGGATAAACCTTCTAAAAACGTTCATTTCTCCCATTACATACCTAAAAAATGTTACAAAAAAGTGAACTAGATCTATTTTTGGAAACTGCGAGAATGAAATCTGAAATATTGAGAAATGCCATGAGCAAAATTACAATGTGTTGGTGGTTATGTCAACCACATTTGGACCCTGAGAAATCTTTATTTTGTGTATGAAGAAGATAAAACTGCTTTCAGTTTTCTATAACCACACTGACAGTATAAGTTTTGAGTAGGGTGAAATTTGGATATAACAAAAAAACCCAAGGCACATTTTTTTTTCTATGCAAACTCTTAAAATTAACATATCAGAATTTTGCTTAATAAATCAAGTAATTTTCAGTGTGGTACCTGGCAATTAGCCAAAGCTATGCAGGTGTATAGTAAACTATCTATCAACTGCACTTTACACTAACAAACATGGTGTAGACTCTGGCCCCAGAAAGCCATAGAGTAAAATTGTATATGGGGCTTGTGTTGGAGACCACTTGTGCTATTGCATTAAGTACAAAGAAAAAGATATCAACACCATATTATCTAACTCTACCAATAAACTCTTAGGCTGTCAGATATTAACAGTTCACATGAATATATGAGTGTGGGTGATCAATAAAAATTAGAATTGTTTGAATAATCATAGAAATACAAAACTATTACGTGTCAATAAAATAGAAATATACAAGAAGTTACTGTTTATAGATTTTTAAAAGAACAATTGACAAAATTATCAAATTAATGTTTAAATACTAATAATTTTATTTTTATTTCACTAATGAAATGATCACATTCTGACATTGCAGAGTTTCACAAAACATTTCTAACCTAAATATTTTATGATACAAAAAAATTAATATAAATAAATGCATAATGGCGCCCCAAAATTGTCCCCCCCCCCCCTCCCCCCCAAGGAGAAGAGGAAATACAACACATAAATTTTTAAAAACAATAAATGAGTTATTAAAAAATATATTACCTGTAATGTAAATGGTGTCTTGAAATTGTACACGTACACATAAAAAGTAGTATTTTCTTTCCCACCAAATCCATGATTCTTGTGTTCAAACTTAGTGCGAATATACTGACATGGCTTCAAGCTAGTATATTCCTTCTCTTCTTGTGACAATTCTAAAGGCACACACAAATTTTGTAAGCATATTTTGAATTTAATAGCTCTAACTTGTTCTAAAACTTATTCCAACCAAAAGAAATATACTACTCTTACTTGTTTTGTATGTAATATTAACATAAGCAAAAGTGGTACAGTTCAATGTGAAATCAACATCTCTATCACTCTGAAAACAAAGGTTATAAAAAAAGTGAAAACAGTTTTAATGCAGCTTTGTCATGTCTATCAAATTGGTGTGATATAAAAAAAAAGTGGTATGTGATATAAATTTCAGAAATCAGTGTAAATACAATTGGGTTAAGCTCACTACTTTTGTTGTAATACTTATCAAGTAAAATGCTATTAAAACTTACAGAGAGTGGAGTATTCAGAAAATTAATCTGAGTATAGTTTATGTCGTCTTTCTTAGACAGATTAAAAGTGTACTGATAATCTGTGTTTAATTGGTCTGAAATATAAATAAATAATTAAATAGTATCACTTTAGTATAAATATCATAACAGTATAAATTCTTCTTTTGATCTGGGTATTAGTATCATTAAATAAAAAATTATACTTCACAAAACAATTAAGTTTTATGACTAGTTATGTTGCTGCTAGCTGATGCATAATTTCTGGTAACATTCAAATACTGAAAATATATGCCATCTTGCAATGTCATAAGGTTTGTCAGTTTTATCATTTTGGCACCTACATAAAGTGTGTTTATAATTTTAAGACACAGGCCAAAATAAATGTCAAAGTAATTCTAATCATTCAACTCTGCTTTAAAACTTAAACTGACTACTCACAGTAACAAGTTCCTCCATCTTTAGGATTCCCAGAGTACTTGTTACTATCATCACACCTGTTAAATAAATATAAAGTCATAATGACACAGCTAAATAATACTTGCTTAGGAAACTAAACTAGCCTACATTGTACACACATACTTTCTTAGGCAAAAATTAGAATATGCTTTGTATTAACTTCATAACTTAAAAGACATTTTTTGTAGATCTGTTTATTTAACCAAAACTTACTTGTTTGATTGTCATAAAATTTTTATTCATTAATTATAAAGTTAAAACCATAACAAAAAAGTTAAAACCATAATAAAGTATTACCATTTCTTTCTAAACAAGAACTAAACTATAGAAATTGAAAATTTTGACTAAATATGTAAACAGCCAACACTGCCATTGAATCAATATCTTACCTTTCACAAAACTTTCCAGTTACACCCCTCGTCCGACAGAAGCAATCACCAGACACGTTATTACAACTATCAGCCTGGCCATTGCAAGAACAGGCTGGTGAGCAAATAAAACATTTTCTAAATTAAAACACCAAATACAAATGCATAGAGTACATTTACTTACACATTTGAAACTAAAACTTCAAAGAAATTAATTATTTTGTCAATTATTTTTGTACAATTTAGAGTAAATAATATTTTGGGGTAAAAAGTCCTTGGTGTCTCGCACAGCCTATTTACATGAGTCATAAAAAAATGTTAGTATTTTTCTATTTTTTACGCTAACACAACATCTTATCAACATGCTTCTATTGTTTGTTTTACTTCAATGTTAAAACTGTTACATCAATAATATACCCTTTAAATCTATAAAAGACCTATAATGAAGCACACTTGATAAACAGTATAAATTACATACGTTTACACTGGCCTCCATTTTGTGGATTGCCATAAAAGCCATCAGCACAGTATTCACATTGGGAACCTACATTTTAATATATAAAAGCTAATTACAATATGCATTTTATGCCAAAATGAAAAAATAAAAACAAACACAACATAATCATCTAGTTAGTGAAATGTAGTTACATACTAAGGTCAGTCTACTTGAAAAAAATGTAAGGTAGGTTGATTTTAAAAACTAAGCAAAATAGAAGTTATTTACCAGCAGTATTATGTTCACAGTTGATACAAATACTTGTTTCATTGTAGCATTTTGAGTGACCATTGCATTGACAAACTGTGATAAATGATAAAATATAAACAATAGTGCAGATAGTCTAGACTTTCTTAACTTTATTTGATACTAAAACAGGTGATGTGTAAGATTAAAATCTTTTTGGCTATAGAGATCAATAATTGAAAATGAATTAGATTGATTGACAGCACTAAAAGTAAGCAATATGAATCTTATTCAAATTTACTTATATTTACCTGGGCAGGTGTTGAAATACCAATTCTTTCCATTCTGTCCAGGGCATTTGCCAATGGCAGGTATGGCTTTTCCTGATATGATTTTAATGGGTCCTGACATGCCACCTTCAAAGCAGACTCCAATACCCGTCTCTGTTTCATTATTACACCAGCCACACTTGGGATTGCTCTGACACTCTGAGCAAGTCTTCTGTTGAGAGCAGCTGCTTGCTAGCAAAGATACAAAACAAACCATTGTCCTTTCATGCTTTTACTCACTGTTAAGAAAAATATTTTACTCTGCATTGATTTTACTTTCCTACTGAAATTATACCATACTGATATAGTACCTTACAATAATAATAAAAAATATAATGGTTAATACAAAAAACATTTGAAATACTGAAAGATACAAATTGTTAATTTACCAAGACAAGATGTCTGTTTTGTTGTCCAGTCCATACACTGTCCGTAGTGGAATGATACTAGATATGAATTGGTATCAATGCACTGATCTAGGTTGCTGCACCACATACAGTTGACATTGGTACAGTTATCACATGAATGGTATTCACTGCAAGCTTTCTGGGTGCACTCACGTTTTGTATCAGTAGCTGAGTAACAAAAACATTTTCTTAAAAACAAGACTAAGAAAAAGCATATTCTTGATTGTGATAATGTACAAACAGTTATTTATAGCAAATAAATAACAATTTTACTAAATTAACCTACCTTTTAAAGGAACACACACACTTGAGCTCCAAATACACATATCATTCTCTTGGCATGATTTACAGTTGTGGAAGAAACTACACACATCTCTTTCATAGCCTGTGCAGTTTTGAGAGTCCTAGAAATAACATATACAGAATGATTCAACCACTAAAATGTGTATTAGTCTTTTAGTAGTCTGTTAAACAGTTTCACGCTTACCTTCCAAGTTAATTATAGAATATTTTAGAAATCAGTGTTAAAAAAACATTTAGATTAGGTCTTAAGGTGCATGAACACCTATCTGCCATTTAATTGTTTAAAAGTTTGTAGAGAATTTAGAAAACATAAAAAAATCATTATGGAAAGACACAAAGATGAGAATAGTTTACCTGGCTGCAGTTTAAACTGATTGAACTATTTGCAAGGCACAAGTTCCCACACCACTGACAATCACTAGTAGATGCATTGTTGCAGGACTGACAGGTATTGTATCCAGCACATGACTCATTTGGATCTGAGTAAAAGGTATGAGTGCAAACAATTATACTTTTACAAAATTAAGGACTTTGTGCACAAACTTCTGGTTGGAAACTGTTTATAACGAAGTATTGTTTTCTATACTGGATATTAAATATAACATACTGTTTCAATTTTTTTTAAAATGAGATTGTTGTTAAAAAAATAAAGTGTTTAAAATGTAGTTACAAACTTTTTATTAACCAGCACTAAGCTGGGTAGTGTGTAGTTTCATGTAATTAATACTGACAACTAGGTAATAAACTTAAAACAGTCCTATTCACCGTGAGGAGACAAAAAAAGTTGAAATAGAAAGGATGGAAGAGAAATGGAAAAGTATATGCAGAGTCAAGTAATAAGTTCTCAAACAAACCTTTTGAAGTACAGCTGGGTGTTAAATCTTCTGTACAACTACCATTTAGCCACATACACTTTATCCCAGGGATAACCCTCTCACATTTGGTCTGGTCTAATAAACTACAAGTACCTGAAAATAAAAAATAAATAAAATGACACTTTAAAACTTTTCAGTCTAAAATTTCTTATGGCCAAACTTAGAATTTTACTCTCAGATAATCTCAATACTGGAAATAAACACTACTCACCAGCATATATCTTATACAAGTCTTTCTTGGGTAGAGAGTTGAATCCTCCAAACATGTATATGATACTGATTTTGAAAAATGAGTTTGTATAAGCATTATATAAAATTAAAATCCAGAAGAAAATATGAAATTTTCAGTAGTAGCAAAACATCACATTTGCAACATACTGAAAAATTTCTTCTATTGTAAAGATGCTATGTCTGCTAATGATTTTAAAAATAAAGCAAGCTTAAAAATTATTAAAATCTTACTTGTTAAGAGACACCATGGCTTGGCCAAAGCGATCAAAATGTTCTAATTCAGCATCCAAGCTAGCAGCTGGAACTGTGTGCCAAACATTACAATCTGCACAAGAGAACACGATTAATTAATACAACTGATAACTAATTAAGACTAATTGAGAGTTTTTAGAATTATTTATACTACTGTAACAAATAATGTAGCAGAAAATACCTATATCATAGATCATGAAATCTGACGCAAAACATTTAGCTTGGACGCCTTGACGTGTATCATTATGCCTGTTTCCCCCAAACGTTATTATCAGACCATTCATGATTGCAGCTGAGTGGAGGTAGCGTGGAGTGCCACTGTTATGTAAATTAAACCTGAAAAAAAAATATACTAAGTGTTTAAATTGGAAAATAGCATAGACAATTAATACAGCCTTAAGACAAATCAGGTGAAAAACTTAACTACTTAAGATTCAACTCAAATTACATTATTATATTTGTAGGCCTATTAGTGGAATGGTTTTTAAATTTCATATAGCAGCAAGCCCACCTCAATGGTTTGAATAAAAAATAAAAAATCAATGATGTATTTAACATAGAATTATTGTTCCTTATTCCAATTATTTTACTTTTTGAAGTTTTAAAAGTTTATGAACACAAATTAATGGGAAATATGTTTACCATTCTCTGGCTGTTGGATCATATCGATAAAGCTTATCTGTTTGATTGTTTGCATTGCCAGTATTGGAGTGATATCCACCATACACATATATCTTTGAACTCTTTTCATCATAGACACTTATGTGGCCATAACCACCCTGCACAAGACTGCCTGCTGTTTTGACAGTTGTCCAATTTCCTGTCTCTGAAAGACAAAATAAAAACAAATTAAAAAAGGTGTGTGTTTTTTTTTTAAAACAATGTAATATTTAATAGCACCCCTCATTAATTTATTTTTAGAAATTACTTTAAAAACCATAGTGTTAAATTAATTAAATACTAAGTTTTTCCTATCTATAATACATTCTTTAACGTATAATAAAAAAATTTAAATATCACTTTTTGTTTAACAAAAATAATATGCCAGAGAGCAAAATAACATGACTTACCAAAACTGTACTCTAAAACATCATTAGAGTACCCATAATCACTGCTGTATCCAAAAACAACGATCATAATATCATTAACAATATGGGCGGTGTGTCCTGTAATGTTCCTTGGACCAGATGACAAAGGCTCCCAGGTGTTGTTAGTTATATCAAACCTCCAAAAGTCTCTTGTTATCTCAATACCATGGGAGCCTCCATACAAATAAAAGGCATTCTGTTGAGTTACAGAAATATAATTGAACATATGGATAAGGTAAATAAAAAAAAAGTACAACCATGCTAATATTAATATAGTCTGAATTTATTTAAAAAGATGTTAGAAGGGTTTTACTAAAATACAATAAAAAATAATTCTTTTCTGTTTATAGGATGGCATAGATTAACATAAGAGTTCAATTCATGAGATAGGGATAGTAAAAGCAGTTGGATAGAGCATTGAATCAATTATGATATGAAGAATTTCTGAAGTTACTTTTGTCTCTGCTCAAATCAGTTTCTATAAATAACTTGTTTAGTTACTGTCTATTTAAAATTTAAAAAATAACCTTGTAGAAGACCGTTGAATGACCATATCTTGGCCATGGGTAAGGTTTTGTATCAGGAATTAAAGTCCATTGATTGTTATTAGTATTAAACCTGAGAAGAAACAATAAAAATCATTAGTACACCTAAACAAATAAATAATGTTCAATTATGCCAAAAAATATCTTGAGATAAAAATTGTAAATTTGTTCTAAAATTATTTAGGGAAATTTGATGCCCAATTCATATACAATGTATGCTGTATAAATTCAAGAGTAATAGTTTTTTTACATGATAAATATTTTTACAGTTATGCATACAGCAGGGATGTGACCAGACCAGGAAAAAAAATTAGGAAATTTTTTTCGGATAATAACTCAGTATGTTTTATCTACTTTTTATCGCAGTTAAGCAGCTTCATACTGTTACTGTACTAATAAATTGTTTTATGAAGTTAATATTTTAAATACAAGAAGTTTATGTTACTCTAAAATAACATTGAAAGTCTTGTCTAATTGCAATTTAATGTTTACCTTATAAACAACTTTTTTTAAAATTACAATGTAACAAAAGTAGCAATTAAGTTTTATTTTACCATTAATCTAATTTAAACTGTAGGCCTACTAATCTAGTGTAGATTCTAGATGTACTCCTGTTTTCAATTTTTAAATAGGGGGCCTAATGCCTTATATATTCTTTTAAAGATTGGATTGGCAAAAATATTTGTCTTCAACTGTAAAGAGCCTAGATTAAGATTAGTTATAATATGAACGTTTTAGGTTCATGTGATGGAAAAACGAAATGGACCAGGTTAGCTAAATTAGAGTTAATCATTTTGATAGCCAAGCCACATCGATATTTATGTTTTTTTGGAATAGCTGTAAATTGTTAGGGGTCATCCACGTTTTTTGACGATATTTACCTCCCCTCTGTCCTACAAAAGCCAGACCCCCCTCCCCCCCATAATGACATCACACCTCAGAGCCACCCCCCTCTCCTCGAATTGAATTTTTTTTAAACATCGATTTTTTTTCTAAAATATTGACTGAGGTAGGCAAACATAGGGGATTTTATTCAATTTCTATGTTTTACAACAGTTTTCTAAAACGCGTAATAGCTGCTAAAATGCAGTTGTTTCTAACATTACTTTTTTTAAATGCAAAAATATGACGTTACACTATCTTACGAGTGTGACATTATTTATGGAAGACCCCTTATTAAAAATATAAAAACAGTCTGAACGTATTTTTTCTTCCACAAACAAGACACGGTCGTAAGTCACATTGAGTTTAGTATTTTTTTAAATCTCTAGGCCTACGAAGCATACCTATTGCAGGAACAGCTATTTGAAATTGACTGTGACGTCATTCCCCCCCCCCCCCCCACAAGCAGTACCGAACACGTACTTGGGGTCAAGGTGAGGTCACAAGACACCGTTGCTACGAGGTGGGGCGGGCTAGTCTTATCCTCATAGTCACCTTTTGCAAGAATTTCAATATTAATTTGAGATTGCGAAATAAAATAGAATCAGAGAGAAACTCTAGATTTAGGCTGGTTAAAATTAAGTCCGCCGAAATTCCGAATCTTAATCTACATTTAATCTTGATCTAGCACCGTCAGACCTAGCGCAATCGACAAGAAATGCGCATATTCGAGTGTCCGTTTGACCTAAGTATAGTACAGTAGTTGTCGATTTAAATTTAAATACGTATAAGTGGAATGAGCATATGGGCCCTTTCCGTAGAAGATATTTCCGTTTTTTTTCCTAATTTTTAAAACTTGGTAAAAAATCGACAAAACTTGAAAGTCGGCAGAAAATTTCGGCAAAAATTAAATCAGCGGAGGAAAAACGCAACTGAAACGGAAAAATCGGATTTCCGCTAAAATTCGGAAAAGTCACATCCCTGATACAGATTCATCATTATATTAGTTATTTTATGTATTATTTTTAAGCACAAACCACTGCTGGTGTAATTATTTTAAGACTAAACAAGTTAAAACTTTGCTCTTGATACAATATTATACTTATATAAACATTACCTAAAGATGTTGTTATCAAGATTATCATCTCCAAATTTGTATCCACCAAACACCCACAGATTGTTTTTGTCATCAGTAACAAATGCCACAGAAGCTCTGCCAGTCAAATTTTTGTGCTCACTGTTGATCAACTCAACATTGAGATCACTATTGTTTCTTTCACAATATTTACCTGAAATTAATCATACAATCAGTGGCTAGAAATATTGAATACTAATTGTTAATAGACATATTTTATGTGATCCTTTTTAACAAACTTTAAATTACACAACAATTTCTATTTTTATAAATTCTTAATACCCATGATAAACACACCCAACAGAAAATGATGTTGCATGAATGATTGAAGCTATAAACATTTTTGTGTTTTTTTAACAATTTTAGCTAATGTTTCCCAATATTATAATAATAGTAACTTTATCTTAATTCAAAAACAACACCTTATTATGATAACTTATAAATGCAATTAAAGTAGATACATAAAAATATCAACACTAAATGATTTTAAATTAGTTTTGTTGATGAGCTCTGAATCACTATATGTTCACACTATCTTTAATATTCTAGTGATATTAACCTCTACCATAATGTTGGACAAATGTGTAAAAAAAAAACTTGTCAAAAAGTAATTTAATGTTCAAATGTTTCAGTCAGCTTACACTAACCTTTAAAGCCTGGTTGGCAGACACAAGTTTCATTCAGACAAGAGCCATGATTAGAGCAGTTGTTAGGACACTCTACTTTGATATTTTCACATTGCGGGCCAACCCAGCCTTGGATGCATGAGCAAGTATTATTGACACATATACTATGATCTGGACATGGTGACGCACAAGGAACAGTGCTGAAAATTTAAAAAGAAAACTTTTGTAAAACGTAAATTGAGCATTACTTAATTAAAAATATGTATTTGATTAACAAAAAACCATTTATTCTCAAGGTATTTACTTTCGATAATGAAAAAAAATCGACTTACAATTTATATGAAATGTTGAAGCCAGGTAATGTCAATGCTGCATCACTATAAAAATGAATGAAGACATATTTTCCAGTCAACTGGAACTTCATATGAGGCTTGTTTTTTCCTAAAAGGATTCCACTGCAAAATATAGAGAGATTATGTGGCGGGGAAAACATTTAATTCATGAAATTAGTATTGTAAAAGAACAATTAAGTCAGTGAACCAAATATAAAACAAAAGCATGTGGGTGCACTGAAAAGTTACTAATTTAATTAATTATCAGTAAATTATTTTTAAAAAAGGTTATTATATTACAGCACTACTTATTGTACTGTACAATAAATATTTTAACTATAATAGCTATACACAGATTTTAGTAACATATTACCTATAAACTGCAACCACTGGAGCAAATGCAGAATCTCCATTATGAATGTATAAATGATCCCAAACACATTCTGTGGCAAATTCATTTACAATCAGCTCAACCTGCATGCCTTCTTTATCAGCTATTAAAAGCCAGCTGCAGGAAGTCTCCTTTGAATAATTAGCAGATCCATCATGTATAACCCCTTCAAGTCCTGGGGCGAGACTGAAAATTAATTTTTATAATTACCATAAATTACCTTAGTATTTATGGATGCCAAGTGGACATGGTTGATACCAACAAAAATATAGCATGTATTATAAAAATATTCCTTACTAGTTCTCTGCATTTGCAAAAATTATTAAAGCTAAACATTACAGACATTTTTTACAATATTAAATTTCTACATGATTACGCCTAAATGTTAATATTTTTTAAAGTGAAAAAATAAGAAAAGAAACTATTTCTTTAGCTGTGATAGTATTAAAAAACATGTGTAAAAATATTTATAACAGCAAGCTATCCAAAGCACTTAAGAATATAAAACTAACTGTTCTTTTTAAGACAAAACAGTAAAGCTGGTAGGCACTAAATTGTGTTAAATAGATTTCATGAGTACAGTACGGATGCTTCTACCATTATATCTTTTTATTATAATAATTATACAACTCTTTTTATTTCCTACTTTTTAGTATTTAAAGCTAGATCTATACGTATAAGATTAAGAGTAAGTTTATATTTGAGTTTTAAAAAAAAGTACCATATTTTTTTTCCAAATGTTCTTACTTATTTAGGCTAAAAACCAGCATGACTAAAAAACCTGTGCCATAAGTATTTAAAACCTAATTAGTTATTATAAATTACAATTATCTGCCTTTTATTACTACCTATGATCTCTTATCAGTTTTAAATAAACAGCACACCTGCTAATCTCCTATTAAGTTAATCTTTGAACTTCAGTTGTTTTATATCCCCTTTTATTAGTGAATCAGTGAATGTAGTAATCTTTAAAATCTTATGACTTATTTAATATCTAATTAAACTGAAAATGAGGTATGTCTACTTTTGCATTGTAATTTGGGAAAGTTTAGAAGTAATCACTGTATTAGAAAAGGGTGAAAACAAAGTTACAAAACTTATTCACAGACATTGTTCTCTAAGAAAAAAAATTGTAAATAATTATTAACAACAATCAACAAACTGTGTGTTATGTAAAAACTGTAAGTTACTTCACAACACTAACTACAATTCACTAAGACTAAGACACTAGCCAATCTGGTAGCCATTAACTAATCCACTAGTCTAGTAAAATTTAACGTAGGAGAGTTGTGCAAGTAATTTATTTTTATCTTACCAGAGCCATAAATATAACAAGACAGTTACAAGTATATAACAACTTAACAAGGGTCATAAATATTATTAAACGACATACACACATGAATCCTCTGCTTATCTCTACATCTGATTATTACCACTGGTGACTCTATCTATAGGCCTATTTAAAATTATTTCAAACTTCACAGTAAATATGATTAAAATTAGTAAACTTTCAATTCCAGGTCCCCAGTAGATATGCTTAATCCCAGTTGGAATTAATATTAAAAATAGTGAAAGTGACAAAATAACATTGCACAGTGGGGTTGGGTGGAATCGTTTTTGACCATCGGGAGATTTTTTTTATACCAGTGTCCGATATAATCTTCTTTAAAAAGGGGTTTTAGGTTACTGGTAGGTAGTTAACTAAAACACACATGGCTTGATAATGTTAATGCTAACCCTATCCCTAACCTGAAACCTAGTTCTTACCCGTACCCTATTTTCTAACCATAAAATAAGTTGAGATTTCAATACTACTAACAACCTAACACACCTATTTTTGGTAGTCTATTATCTTCAATCATCCATGTATCCAAGTCTAAAAATAAGATGATTAGGCCTACTGAAGTAAGAGAGTGTTTATAACTAACGTAGTTAATTACAAATAACTCTCAGAAGGCTATTCGTAGTTAGCTATTTTTAGTCGACCAATCAAATTTATTTTTAAATTTATTGTTCGAGTGGCCAAGTGGTTATGTATCAGATAGCTTGCTTTCGCCGCATGGGATCTATTCCTTTTGGCTCTGAGGTTTTATTTTGCTTTTTTACTTTGACTTTATTAGGCTTAGGGTTGAGGTTAAGTTTAGGGTTAAGCATTATGGTTAGAGATAGGCATTAGGGTTATGGGTTAGGCATTAGGAGTAGGTATTAGGGTTCAGTGTTTGTGATAAGATTAGATACAAACTTAACCGCCTTGCAATTGTGAGTTTCGTACTATACCCGTTGCCATGAATATCTTAATTGTCACACGAATAAAGCACATTCAACATTCCAAATTTGGATTTTTCTCAAGTTTTGACAAGTAAATTATCAAAAACTAAAACAAAACATCATAAAGAAATAAGCCCAATGTTTTCCTAACGTTTTTCAATTTGTGTGTTTTGGTTGTGTTTTATAATAAAATACGCTTAACTGGAGGTGAACGTGAAGAGGGGAGTAAAATACGCTAAAATAGAGTTTTACCCTCATCTGTATCTATGTGCAAGTGCTACTTAAAGTAAGTATTAGTAATTAGTTAATAAGAAGGGCAAAGTAAAAATAATAAATAATAACTTTAGTAGGCCTAGGCCTATACACTAGGCCCTATTCATCAAGTATTCAATAATTCCTAGACTGTCCTAGATTAGAAGTAGAAGACTGAAGGCCATACCAATGGCAATAAGCCATTGATAAAGGCCAAGGCTATTCCCAGCCGGTTGGGAATAGCCGTATTGGGGCTATTCCCAGCCGACTGTGAATAGCCCCAATACGGCTATTCACAGTCGGCTGTCATTTCATACTATACGACTGTGAATAATATCTTAAAATAATATAGGCTAAGCATTTATTGTGACTGGGGAGTGAGGTATAGATTAAGAGAGCAGTGCTATTTTTATTTTGTTATATTTTTATAAAAAAGTTATTACCGTTAAAGTTTAGTTTAACTTTTAGGCTCATATCAGACATATCTGCTACAGGCTACGTAGGTCATAGATGATTAGATGATCAATTATACACTCTAAATCTATACACTAGAATAATAGATCTAGTAATTTTTAAATAAATAATACTAATTAAGCATCAGTTTATTTGTTTGTTCACATTGCTATTCAACTATCAATTACCATTAAAAATTCACATTATCACATAGATCTAGAATAAATATCAGGTGAAATAGGATGTCCTTTTTCATCAGCTATTATTCAGTTTCCATCACACTTTGTTTTTTTTTCTCTTAGCAAAAATCTACGGGACAGGCCTTTTTTTTTTGCTGATATGCCAACAATTACGTCACAAACGAAAAAAAAATTAACAAAAACAACCCTTCCATGAGTAACTCAAGTAGAATCTAGAGATCTAATTGTGAAAAAAATATTTTGATAAAATTATGAGGTATAGGCCTACATCAAGGGTCAGACCATTTGGCATTTGTTGGATTTGAACCCCCACCTTCTGGCATGACAGCCTCTCCCTATGACCACTCGACCACACATCTTCATGCCCAGTTAGGTATTTTTAACATTAAATCTATAAAAAACGGTCACGACTGTGAATAGCCCCAATACGGCTATTCACAGCCGGCTGTGAATAGACACTTCGATTGATAAATGCCAAATGGCCTAGTCAAATAATAGATTAATAGATCTACAAATTATGTCTGCTGTTAAATGGCCAAGTTCAGCTACTTGATGAGTTTGTTACCTAATTCTGCCTTTGCACTCATTGCAGAGTACTCCACTCCAGCCAGCCAGACAAACGCAGGTTGTGTCATTTAAACACTTGCCTTGATCACATTCAGAGCAAATTTTAGAACAATGGACAGAAAACCCAACTAAAATGATTGAAAAGATCCACAATGTTTTGTTGAAATAAGTCCCAATAGTTGGTCGAACTGAAACAACTAGTCTTTTCCGTTTGTATCTACTGCTAAAATTCGACGGACCACCCTCATCCGCCATTTTGAACATAAATTTACTGCAGTGTATATAGCTATAAATAGATTTCGTGGTAGCTATATTACGGTCTATAAACAAACACGAAACCAACTTCCTAGTTTACAATTTTTCGAACTTTAGCCAGTCTACACTTTTTTATTGAAAAAAAAAAAAAAAAAAAAAACCGTTAAGGTCTATACTATAGTTAACCATAACATCCTGTCTACTCTTTTAAACACAGAATCTGAAATTTAAAAAAAAATGCAGGATTCTTATAAATCATATTTTTGTATTACGTTTAGTCGTGTCAAAGCTTCTTTATTTACTTTTCTGTTGGGTAATTAGTAATTTAGTTTCTTCCTGGCATCTCTTAGGGGAGTGAAAGCTCCCCCCCCCCCCCCCAAAAAAAAAAGGAATAGAGAAAAATTAATATTGAAAATATAAAGATGTCCGTCCCCCCCCCCCCCTCAAAGAAACCTTATTTTGGTGATTAGTGTGCGTGATTTAAATGGGGTAGTAGAAGAAACTAGTGGGTTTTTTTTTTTAAATTATAAATCAAGCACCAACAAAAATACGAGGGGTATTTTTATGCGCGAGTACGCTAATTATTCGGCATTTTGTTTCGAAATCGAATTAATAACTAAATCAAATGGCGTGAGCAAATTTTTAGCCATTCATTTGGATAAATGAGTAGTACGGAGTAGTATGGCTTTTTATTGCATCAGGGCAGAGGCGTCACTTGTGGGGGTGCGGGGTACGTACCGCACAGGTGACAAGATTTGGGGATATAACTGAAAAAGGCAAAGTATACATAAAATATGATTTTTTACCCAGTTAAAATTAACAAATAAATAGAGTTAAATTTTTTTTTAAAATAAAAGTTTACACCTTCGGAAGAGGGAGGGGGGGGGTGATTGGCAAAAGACGGAAACGCGTTTATCGAGTTGGATAAATTACTGATACTATAACCTTTTCGCTGACACCTGTAATGTGTTTGCTGACACAAAATGTAATGTTCTTCTTCTCTTCTTTTTCTTGCTCTCACTCTCAGTCACATACGATAAAAATGATGAAAAAAAAGTTGGCTTCTGCAAATCTTTATTCTGACTGCGAACAGTATCTTTCTTGACCGGGAATTGTCTGTGTAGCACGCATCTAAAAAGACTATAGCTGCATAAATTACTGGCTATATAATATATATATATATATATATATATATATATATATATATATATATATATATATATATATATATATATATATATATATATATATATATATATATATATATATATATATATATGGCCTAAGGTAAAAACTTGTCAGACAAGGGTGCATCTCACCTGTCGTCTTTTTGGTGGTAATAGACTAGATTATTATGAGAAGAGCCACTGAGGACATGCCAAGAGGAATTGTTTGGAAACTTACCATCCACTTGTAAGACTGAGACTTTGCTGAAGACTTAGCTCTACTCTCACATGCCCAAAAAGACATTTAAGCAAAAACCACAAAAATAGAGCAAATTGCTAAAGGTGTTGGGCTAAGGGGTCATCCATAAATGAAGTCACGCTTTTTTTGACGATTTTTACTCCCCCCCCCCCTCCACTCCGTCAGACGTCGTGACAAAAAGCCAGACCCCCTTAAAATGATGTCGCACATCAGCCTACAAACCCCCTCAAAATTGCTGTTCAATTTTTCTTAAAACATCGATATTTTTCTAAAATCTTGTCAGAACTCTGTCAACATAGAGTATTTTGATGAAATCCTATTACAATTTATTAAAACCGTTTTATAAAACGCGAAAATACGACACGTTTTCTAACATTTTGTTTTACTTTCTCGTATAAACGAAGTATAGAGAAAGTCTTGTAATCGTGCAAAAAATAATAATCGAGATTTTTGCAAATCTCGACGTTTTATACCTCCCTGAGTCAGAAAAACATAATTTTGCAATTTTGTCCTTATGTATGTGTGTTTGTGTGTGTGTGTGTGTGCGTGTGTGTAAACACGATAACTTGAGTACCTTTACAGCTACGTTGATGAAATTTCAAATATAATTATTTTATCAAAATCGTAGATCCGTATCAATTTTTGAGCGATTTCCGATAACCGTAAGTGGTACTTTTTCTACTTTGAATTTTTCAAAAGCCTATAACTTGAGTACTATTTCAGATAGATAAATGAAATTTCACATGTAAGTCAAAGATCTAATCTTCTACCTTCTATCAAATTTTGAGTAATTTCCGTTGACCGGAAGTAGTAATTTACGCTATTTCCGATTTCTCAAAAAACTAATGTAAATATATAAAACGAGAAAAATGGCCCGTTGAGGAAGGGTACAACGGGCGCTAGGCTGATAGTGCTGTCTCTTTTCTCTAAACTAAAACCAACCCACAACCCCCCACCCCCACCACCACACACCACCCCCACCACCCCACCCCCCCCACCCCCACACACAGCCCCCCAACCCCACCCCGCCCCCAAAAAAAAACATGTCTACCGTCCCATTCAACGAAATATAATTATATACTTTTTCCAGTGTCCGCCCCCTCCCCGAAAATTCTACCCCCGCCCCCGAAAATTTCAAGTACCCCCACCCCTCTCCGGGGAGGAAAAAGTCTGAAAGAAACACTGGTGTCGCGCTTAGCCACTACCCGAAGAATTGCATTAAAGAAATTGCAAGAAAACCAATTTTTGGATTAGACACACTAATTAGGCGGTAATTTTATTATAGAGTATCGATGAGGAAATTTCTTTTGAGTTGGGGAGGGGTGGGGCTCAGACGTTCTTACGCGGAGGGGGGGGGGGGTGGGGCTTCGCCCCTACCCGAAGAATTGTATGCAAGAAAATCTTCACGCAAACCATTTAGATTAGACAAAATTTCCTTTGTATTCAATGTTTACTCTCCGGTTTGAGATTATTTTCTACTCTGTGCTAAATGTGTCGACGTCATACTTCGTTTTTCGAATTACTATGCAGGTTTTTAATTTGCTTGTGTTTTCTCTAGAGCGTTCTTGTCAGACAGAGCGTTCTTGTCAGACAGAGCGTTCTTGTCAGATAGACAGACAGCGAAACTATTATTATAGACGAGAAAAATGGCCCGTTGAGGAAGGATACACCGGGCGCTAGGCTGATAGTGCTGTCTCTTTTCTCTAAACTAAAACCACCCCAGCCCCCCCCACACACACCACCACCCCCCCACACCCCCCACCCCCCCCACACACCCCCCACACCACCCCCCACCCCCCCCCCCCCCCACACCCCCCGAAAAACCTGTATACCGTCCCATTCAACGAAATATAATTATATACTTTTTCCAGTGTCCGCCCCCTCCCCGAAAATTCTACCCCCACCCCCCGAAAATTTCAAGTACCCCCACCACTCTCCGGGGAGGAAAAAGTCTAAATTAACCCCCCCCCCCCCCACTCACCCCCCCTACCCCCCCCCCCCCCCACCCCCCCCCCCCCACCCCCTCTAAAAAAACATGTCTACCGTCCCATTCAACGAAATATAATTATATACTTTTTCCAGTGTCCGCCCCCTCCCCGAAAATTCTACCCCCGCCCCCGAAAATTTCAAGTACCCCCCACCCCTCTCCGGGGAGGAAAAAGTCTGAAAGAAACACTGGTGTCGCGCTTAGCCACTACGCGAAGAATTGCATTAAAGAAATTGCGAGAAAACCACTTTTTAGATTAGACACATTAATTAGGCGGTAATTTTATTATAGAGTATCGATGAGGAAATTTCTTTTGAGTTGGGGAGGGGGGGGGGGGGCTCAGACGTTCTTACGCGGGGGGTGGGGCTTCGCCCCTACTCGAAGAATTCTATGCAAGAAACTCTTCACGCAAACCATTTAGATTAGACAACATTTCCTTTTTTTCAATGTTTCAATGACGTCATTACATTACTGTGTGCACTCTCTGGTTTGAGATTATGTTCTACTCTACGCTAAATGTGTCGACGTCATATTTCGTTTTTCGAATTACTGTGCAGGTTTTTAAATTCCTTGTGTTTTCTCTAGAGCGTTCTTGTCAGACAGATAGATAGATAGATAGATAGATAGAGAGACAGCGAAACTATTATTATAGACGAGAAAAATGGCCCGTTGAGGAAGGATACACCGGGCGCTAGGCTGATAGTGCTGTCTCTTTTCTCTAAACTAAAACCACCCCAGCCCCCCCCCCCACACACACCACCACCCCCCCACACCCCACACCACCCCCCCCCCACCCCCCCCCCCCCCACACCACCCCCACCCCCCCCCCCCCCCCACACCCCGAAAAACATGTATACCGTCCCATTCAACGAAATATAATTATATACTTTTTCCAGTGTCCGCCCCCTCCCCGAAAATTCTACTCCCACCCCCGAAAATTTCAAGTACCCCCCACCACTCTCCGGGGAGGAAAAAGTCTAAATTAAAACCACCCCCCCCCCCCCCCCACTCACCCCCTACCCCCCCCCACCCCCCCCCCTCTAAAAAAACATGTCTACCGTCCCATTCAACGAAATATAATTATATACTTTTTCCAGTGTCCGCCCCCTCCCCGAAAATTCTACCCCCGCCCCAGAAAATTTCAAGTACCCCCACCCCTCTCCGGGGAGGAAAAAGTCTGAAAGAAACACTGGTGTCGCGCTTAGCCACTACGCGAAGAATTGCATTAAAGAAATTGCGAGAAAACCACTTTTTAGATTAGACACATTAATTAGGCGGTAATTTTATTATAGAGTATCGATGAGGAAATTTCTTTTGAGTTGGGGAGGGGGGGGGGGGGCTCAGACGTTCTTACGCGGGGGGTGGGGCTTCGCCCCTACTCGAAGAATTCTATGCAAGAAACTCTTCACGCAAACCATTTAGATTAGACATTTCCTTTTTTTCAATGTTTCAATGACGTCATTACATTACTGTGTGCACTCTCTGGTTTGAGATTATGTTCTACTCTACGCTAAATGTGTCGACGTCATACTTCGTTTTTCGAATTACTGTGCATGTTTTTTAAATTGCTTGTCTTTTCT